TATATATATATATATATATATATATATATATATATATATATATATATGTCAATTGCTTACAAGATAATAGGTATAAGTATAAATATGAGTAAGAATACAGGAAATCGGTACGAATAAATGGAGGCAATAGGACAGGGACGGTAGGCACGATGGTGCACTTATGCATGCCCCTTAATTGATGTGAGACATCAATATATTTAAGGCTGTATATTCCTGATTCTTACTGAGATTTTCTAACAATTGCAATACAGATTGATCTGCTTAATGAAGCTAAGCTGGAAAACATTTGACCATTATTTATCCAACTTTGGTATGCATTTTATCTATCCATGGTTTGACTTCATACTACAGAAGAATCTCACACAGGATCCAAAAAACCCAAAGCGTAAGCTGTCGATACTTGCCATTTTAACAGTTGCAATCATATCTTTATGAGCCAGAATCTCAGCCTCAAAGACTTGATGTTTCTGAAGAAGCTTCATTTTGTCACATGACTTGTTGAAGTTTTGAAAAGAAGGAACCTTCATCATCTGCATACGTTCATCAATCCAATCCTCGGCCTGTCGCCAAAGGAGCAACACAATTATCGCCGCATGTAAGGCTAAGAATAGTATATGCAAATCTGATAAGATCAGATTTCCTTTCAGTTCTATTCAGGTTCTATTCAGTCCAAAATGTGACCTGAATTTCGAATTTGAAGCTTTGCTAAAGATGTGTGTCTCTTGCAAAATTATTGAATCTGTAAGCTAGTTTGCCATTTCAAAGATGTGTCACGAAATGTCACATGACGGCAACATGACGCTGTGAGTTTTGAAATAAAGCTGCAAACAAAAGCTTTGCTCTGCCCTTTAACTCTCTACATGAAAAGCGATCAGACTTAAATTAATGCAGTGTAACTTTTTTTTGCAAGACTTGAGATCCACTATGAAGAGCCAAGTGGAAGTTAATAGTTGCAACATTCCTTCAGGTTTTACTATAATAGCTGGCTCTCTTGAAGAACTGAGTCAGGCCAAGAAATACTGATAAAATGAAGGCTATCAGCTGGTTGATAAAGAAATACCTTGGATTTCTTCCAAATGTAGAGGAATGAGATATAATAATAGCTCTCTAGCACTCATATAATATGTGCTTTCCCAGTCTTATGCTCTTCAGATGAATTGAGTTGTACTGCTGTAAGTCATAGACCATATACTTAGCCACAGTGGCTACAAATTTTGGTTTAGAGGCTAATCAAAGTACATCTAGAGGGCACTAGGTTGGGAAAAGCTGCTGTAGCATTTAAATGTTGCATTATATTCCGTTTATGTTTAAATGTATATAGGAAAACATTGAATGTGAAAACCATGTTCTAAAGCACAGAGCTTCAGAATTATAATAATATATAATAGCTCTTTTGTCTATGCCTATGGAGATTCTCAGTCATCTAGGTCATGATTGTCCCAAAGGTGCTTTTTCAAGAGGACTTTCTGGTCAACAGCTCTTTTGATTTTGTTTCTTTAAAAGATGTGAGAAAAATAAAAAACTCAAAAAGAAGTGGGAAAACACAAGAGGGTCAGAAGAGGGCCAGGGGACTACAGGTGTCTTGGTGGGATGGGCAAGTGTGGGGATTAGACTGACAAAAGCAGTGTTGTAATGCTGCAGGCATGGTCCAAAAGGCTGAAGTTGGTGGTGTGATGTCACAATATCGCTTTTGTCATTCTGCTGCAAGCAGCAAGATCCCATGGATATCACTATAGATGACAGTGTCTGATCTTCTTCAGAATTACCTCTTTTGGAAATGGATATAGTGATTACTTCCAAATGATGTTTTAATTATTCTGCCTCAATTATTTGCGTAGTAAAATGCTTATTTTGATTACTATGCTGCAGCAATTAACCATTAAAGGCAGTCTTCATTTACTGACTGCTCATTCAGTGACCATTCAAAGTCATGACAAACATGAATGAACAAAATGTATCATCGTTTCTCAAACTTGAGCTATCTCAGCATTCCATGGTCGTCTGGTTACCATTTGCAACCTTCACAGCCAGCTTCTAATAAGCAAAGTCAACGAGGAAACAGCAGGAAATCACAGATTTAATTTTAATCACCACGAGTGATTTACTTCATGATTGTGGCTGGAACTGACATCTAAACCGGGGACAGTCATGTGATGTTTCATTCATCGCATCATTTAATGGCAGAATTACTGGTTCCAACTGCAATCAGTAAATGGGGCCTACTCAGTGGTGGGATTCAATTTTTTTTACTACTGGTTATGTGAGCGTGGCTTGGCGGGTGTGGCAGGGGAAGGATACTGTAAAATCTCCAGTCACAGGTGGGATTTGCCGGTTCTCCGAACTACTCAAATTTTCCGCTACCAGTTCCTCAGAACTAGTCAGAACCTGCTGAATACCACCTCTGGGCCTACCCATTTAGGCCATCTAAATGGAGAGTGAGACAGCAACCTCTTAATGTCTGAAAAGAGGATGGAAGTTTTTATTTCCAAGATAATGCTTTACTAATATACAACTTATTCTCACCTCAGTTACACTCTGGTAGAATACAGCTAGCAGGAGTTCTACCTGCAATTTTTCTTGCCTACTTTGAGAAAGATCTCTGATGCCTCTTCTTTTCTTTAACACCACACTGAGCCTCTGTTGAATCTGCGTGACTTCCAACTCACTACCTGGTTGCAATTTTCCCATTTGCTCCTGAAGGGAGAGTTCCTGAAAGACCAAAACTTAAAATCATAGCTACAGTTAACTGTTCACAGGCTGCATACATAAAATATTATTTTTTTCTACTGGAAGATCAAAATTGCCCACAACCAAACACCAGTAACAAAAATATACAGATGTATATTTGTGCAATATGAATGAGTAAAACTTTCTGAGAACCTCTTCTTACCTTGTTGATACTATCTGAAATATTATTTGGGAAGTTTTATTTAAGGGTAAATCCTTAAATTCACTGTATATTTTGCTTTCTGTGACATTTCGTGTCAAACTAAGACATTCTTTCTCCCCAGGTAAAAGTTCCCAGCTATTTTGGCTGAAGATCTCCCATATTTCTTGAAAATCGGCACTTCAAAGTGGTCTTATAATAAAGTAGCTTCTATAAAACAATGTTATATCTATTGGCTGAATTGCTTTTTCAGGTTTGTCACAATACTTTTTCCAGTCCACTGAGATGACACATAAACATCAGGTTTTACTTGGATATTTGCCCATGTCTTGCTTTATATATTATATGTAAAGATTTTACCTTTTCTTCCTGAGAGGCTAGAATCTTCTCGAAAGCCTCTTGTTTCTTGATCTGCTGTATCACTTCATCCACACTGCTTCCAAAATCACAGCTTTTCAAATACATCTGTGGAAAATTGGAATCAGTTCTGGCAATATAGGTTTTTTTTAAAAAAAACAAAACATGGAATGATGGGTCCAAATTTGTTGCTTTTCTGGAATGAAACTCAAGAAATATCAGATGATCAAATGATTTTTAAGAGATTTATAAGACGTGTTTCTTACACAGCTCTGGCCTCTTCCTTAGTTCAGATATTTGGATTAATCAAGAGAAGAGGCATGTAGTGTAGCCTTTTGGGATGTTTTTTGGGGGGGTAAATATTATTTTCAAGAATCCCAACATAAAGATTTTAGTTTTATTGATTAAATTTATATGCTACCCATCCCTGAAAGAATATAGCTTGAAAATTAGGCACAGGGATAAATTAGCTATATACAGTATATACTCCCAACCTGAATCCTCTAAATGATCATTTATGTCCTAGTCACCTTGGCTGTAGATTTTTGCAAAGAACATTTCACTGGGATGCCCCTGAAATGTATGTAGTTGGCAAGAATGTAGAATAGAATAGAATAGAGTAGAGTAGAATAGAATATAATAGAATAAAATAGAATAGAGTAGAGTAGAGTAGAGTAGAGTAGAGTAGAGTAGAGTAGAGTAGA